AGCCTTTGGGGAAAGCACAATGATCATGGGTCTCCGCTCAAACGATTATTGTGGATTTGTACTAAAGGTCTGCATTTCAGGTTAGAGTACAAATATACTCGTCTGATTGAATCGCGCAATGGTGAACTACCGGCGGCCGAGTCATGCGGTCTCGAAGACGACGAGGATGATGAGGTAAGTTCTCCCAACGCTCTTTGCACCAATTTCAATTCCCAAGAGCAGTCTTCCTGTTTCAGGCAGCCGACAGAGTGATTTTTGCGAAAGGACGTCGGAAAATTTTTGGTGGTCGAGACACGGAGGCATTTGTGCCTCTTGAGAATGAGGACTGATCTGTGGAGATCTTCTCAATCAGCCTTGTCCAGCTCGCTTTTTGATTTGCTTGTCCATATCTTTGTCTGTCTATGTGCTCCTGTGCGCATAATCAGAGCATTGTGCGATTGCGGCCTTTGGCCAGTAGCTGATTTCGCTCTTTATTTGCATATGGCGTTGTATGTGCTACTTCGGATTCGCTCCACAGGTATCTTATTCACAAGCTAGCGCATCCTATTTGCCTCCGTTTTACGCTGGTTGACTAGCCACAGTAGTGAGACTTCTGCTCCAACTCCTCCAATCAATCTAAATCCCTTACATATTTCACGATTATACCCCGTATCTCAGGGTAGAGAGGGCGTGTGCGTGCTGTTTCAAATCCAACGTGTCGGCGACTGGGCATAGGGTGGCTTTGCCCAGCACAAGGCAGTATGCGGTTGCCTCAAATGAAAATGAGCCACGAAAAAAGCATACTACGTAAACGGAATACGTAGCCAGTCCTGTTCGGATGGTGTATGCAGCCACGCCCTTTCCAGTCTAGGATATGGAGGATACACGTACGTCATTGAGAATGTTTCATCGTGACTTTCGAACAACCTCTGGACAGCAAGAGAAGAAAGACGTGGCGCAATTCTTCGGAGACGCTCTCCCTAAAGCCTTCCCGCAACAGTTTGCAAGACATGAACTGAGTTTAGAAATGTCAAGCGCGCAGATGAGGGATAAGACGAGGGGTTAGAGAGCAGAGAGACACGTAAACAGCTTGTGGGCGTTCGTTCTTGCTGGGCGGAGACATCATGTCACCGGAAGCCCCTACCGTCCTTGCCGCACGTTTGAGGGACAAAAGTTGCGCACATTCTACAGCTGCAGGCTTGCCCATCTTATACCGGGAATTGACCCCTATTTTATGCATTCGCGCATTGTGTCTTCAAATTATGGCTAATAAAACGGTGTGGAACGGAGGTGAATGGCGCTGTCAGCTCCCAACCATAATGACCAAAAATTCCATAGCAATCTTTAGAGAATTACGTGCCAACGCGGGTTTCCACAGCGATCTCCATCCACTACACTTATCCCCGTCAAACAGCCTGCTAACGCTAGATCCTACTTGTATTCGTTACATCAAACACGCCTACTACTTCTCAGTATATTTGGTACATTTAGTGCACTTTCAATGTAAATATTGTATTTTCAAAAGCATATCGCCTGCTGGTATATCATCATTATCACATTATTTTGACTTCTTTTATTAAATATTCTTAATATTTGAAGCAATCTAGACATCCAGAAGACATCGATAACCCGTGACATATTAACATGGTGAAGTGATTTGTAGAATCGAAATTCGAATATAAGATCTAATAGAGTAAGCTTCGTGGGGGAAGGACTGAGCGGCCAAACAAATGGACCACTCGTCGTGGGTAAAGCCTTGGGCCACTGTGCCGGCCGACTGTTTCCAATGTTCTTATTCAGCCACCGGTACGCTCTTGAACGTCATCTGGGTGGTTCATTTGACACACTGTTCCTTCGAGAACTCATTGACATGTAGTATATCCAATAGGCCATGTTGAACATACCAAATGCCTGAAAATTTGAAACTTTCTCGATTTGTTGGAAAGTAATTGTAATGTATCGAAGTAACCTACGATGGGAAAAGCTATGCTAGCCGCTTTGTCTATCGCAGCTCCTAGTTCGCTGCCTTTTGTCCGTCGCAGGCTGATTTCAGCAATGCTCCTGAAATGGAGTCTCTTTATAATAGTTTGTTGTGATGACTGCAGATATTTATCACCGCACTTCGTGATGCGACTCTTATCGCAAGTGCTGCTTAGGCAGCGTTCATACTTCGCGACAGCAGAGCTTCGGTCGCGCGTTCGACGCGATCAATGCAGTCGAAAGCATGCGCATCGATCGCGTCGAACGCGCGACCGAAGCGCTGCCGTCGCGAAGTCTGAACGCTGCCTTAGTTACGGATGGAACACCTTCGTTCTCAGGCCCACGAATTAACGGTGGTTCTTGTGAAGTGGGACGGGCGAAGCAAAGCTTTGGGGTAGTTATTTCATCACGCCTACCTATTTTGCTTTGCAACTATCCCAGCCGAAACTCGACTCCGGGTACAGTTTTCAGATTAGCGAATATTTTTAAGGAGGAAGGGGATTTGGCCATTTTTTCCAAATTCCTTTCTTGGCCTTGTAAGGCTACGTTCATAGCCACAGCATTCACCAGTGGCGCGAAACAACCGTATCGAGGTAAACGCCGAAGGCCAGCGACTAGGGAAGTATAGGTATCGATCTAGCGAGGCCGGCGTCTCCAGCGTCCAGGATGGAGAATATGGGGAAGTAGGAGAGTAGCAGACAGCTGGATTAGGCGTCGTGTGCAACTGCTCCGTACAGCTGCACTACACCGCACACAAAATTGCATAATTCTGTATTTCAGTAGTTTCGCGATGCTGTTGCACAGGCCAAAATTTCACGACGTCTAATCCAGCTGTTTTTTAGATCCTAGTTCCATACTCTCAAATGTTGTACGCTGGCAAACGCTGGTGGATGCTGGCGTTCGCTAGGCCGGCGCCTACACTTTCTTAGTCTCTTGAGACGCTGGTGAATGTTGCCGCAAAGTATGAACGCAGACTAAGACGTGCAACATAGGACCAGCACAGCGAATGGGTGAACTCCACTCTCACACCGACAATAAACGTTACCCCTATGTTTCTGCGAACTGGGTTCCCCGTATCTTCGCTTTCACCTTGTTTTTTGTTGTAAAAAAAACGAAGGTTGAAGAATCATTTTCATACTGATGTACTGTAGTGCAGTTTTAGCTCAAGCTTCGATTGAAACTTGCCTTCGTATTGCTGAAGAGTTGCCATTTGCCGAGGATATGGACAATCCAGCAGCACCTCTCAACCGCTGGTCATCAATTTTGTCATTGTAAGCGACTATCGCCAACTCAATTAACGAAAAGAAGACATCGATTGCTTTCACGTATGAAGCCTGAAAAGCGGTTTTAGGGTGCGTAGAAGAGACAAGTAAGGAAACTGGTGAAGCTGCTCTCTCACAAAAAACGCCTCCAAATTTGCAAGTCCAGCCAACTTTTTTATCGCAGAACTTTCGGGGCAAAAGAAAAGCTTCCCATAAAAAAATGCTAGAAAAACAAGGCCAGACAGCGTTCAGAAATTACAACAACCGACAATCCTCCCCCCTCCCCTGAAGACTAACCTTGAATCATTTGTGTCATTTATAAGAAGGGTTGTTTCCGCCTGACCAGAGCATAGCGATCAATCTATCCGTGAAAAGTATTGATATTCCAACCTTAGGTAGAGACCTGACGATGTTTCCGAACTGGAAGGTTAGGGCCATTAGCGACGAAACCGACAAAGTGATTCTGGCGGGTAATGCGCGAGTGTCCATCCAGAACGCAATCCATGAAATGAACACCGAGACATATGTTGGCAGGTACATCTTGAAAAAATCGTTCTCTGTAAACAGTTCATAGTTCGCTACATTTAGCGTACCTGCAGAATGTAGAAGCCGTAGAGTCTTTCAAAATCAATCGTCACACCAAGACGGTGCCAAAGGCCAGCGGTGTATGTCTGAGATCGTGACAGTCTCTAGAAGCACCTTAGGAAAGGTCACATGCCAACTTACCTCTGTAACTGAGTAATAGGTCATATTTGCCATTTTGAAATCAGGCAAATTGAAAGTCGTTCTTCACAGCGCTCACCGGAGACCATTCAAGCCATCGAAGTGAAACCTGATTCAATTAAAATAATTTCATGGAAATCAGGACTAGTCCACTAGAAATCTAGGTCATCCACCACGTCTCCATTTCCATCACCGTTCCAAGTACCCCTCAACCGCCCCCAACTTACAGAGTTTCAGCCTCCTTAGACATACACTGCCTGCACTTTCCCAGAAAAAAAGGTCGAAAAAAGGCTTCAATGCAAGTTGAGTGGTTGAAATAGCAAGTATAGCTTGTAACATTGCAATTTGTCGGGGGCGGCGAGCGCAGCGCGGCACGAGCTCGCGTCCGGCTGCCTTGCTCTACCAATGGTGATCGAGCAATGATCGATGTAGGAAGGAATCAGCCACTGGTGGGAAGGCCGCAGGTGGGAACCGTTATTGAGTCAGTCGGGAGGGGGGTCAACGGAGCGTGGGTTTCGGCGCTGCTGAAGCGTCTTTCCCATCATCCATAAAATGCCCCAAACCGCAGCTATTGATGGATGATCTATGGCGCAATGGGAAGTGCCAAAGGCTCCGCTCCCTGACACGCCCGACTGACTTCGGTGTTGACAACTGTAGCATCCTTATTGTCTTATAAAGGGGCTGTTGTGGAAAAGAACAGTGGAATATAAATGAATCAACCGAAAAACTGCTCAATACAAAACTCAAAAAAAGAGAATTTCGCGAAAACTTGCTTCTTCACCACTAACCTCAGCTGAATTGTATGAGTAGCTCTCCAGTAACAAAGTACACTTGATGCTGTCCAACGGAAACGTTCGTAAATCCATTCTGCATGGGGCTAAACAAGGAAACCAGCCTATGCTTCCACTAGGATCATTACTTCTACGAGTGTTAACCTTCAGAACGAACTCGGTAATTCAACCATACGGTCCCATTGGGAAAATCATGAGTAGAATGTTTGGTTTAGGCGAATCGTGAACCTGAAATGTGCTCAAATTGGTGAAAAAATCAATAGTCACTTCATTTACTAACTTCTAAACATAGACGACCGTTCTGAGAAGGAAACAGAACGATTGTTCTAAACATAGAAGACCGTTCTGAGAAGGGAACAGAACGATTGCCGGTGGACTTTAACATCATAAGACCGTCTCTGAGAAGAACAGAACAAATTTCTCGGTGAAGTGAATGAGGTGCACCATTCTGCTGCAAATCACGCGTCTATGATTCCCTCTGCTTTCCATTCTATACAGCGCTATCGTTATACTGCCTGGACTCTACCGCATACCGACAGCTTCTTAGACCTCCTGTGCCCCCTTCACCCTCCACTGGACACTCATAGGTTTATGCACTTCTTCCTTTCGCTAGTTTGCTCACTTTTACGGAATTCATAACCCTTTTGTGTGGATAAAATAACCATCTTTTATACATTTAGTGATCTGGTGACCTCTGTCCACGGAGAAGCCTCAGAAGCCTACGGAATACTTGCGATCCTTCTGCCCACTGTAGGCTCGAGCCGACATACATGATTAATTCGGCCACCTTCCCTTCGTCCAACTTTTACTTTTCAGCGGTGTAGTCGACTCGATTGTCAGTCATCGCCCAAAGTACTTGTCACGTTGCGAACTGAAGTGCGATGAAAAGTATTGTGCTTGCCGCCGACCAAGCCCGACCATTACACCTTCAAGTGATGATGAGCCTCCACAGACAGGAAGAGTGGAAAGGCCGGTAAAGAGAGTATGCCCATGCCGAGCCCCATCCATGAACATAATGTAGCACGGAGGCATGAGCTGCGATCTCGGACCTATTTGTTCAGGGTCTGTCACGAGTACCGTAAGCAAATCTCAGCCAGGCGCTTAGCATGGCTGACTGGCTTTCAACTTTCCAGGGCGAGCGGGCGCCAACTAGAAAGTGACATCACGTGATTGCGACTGAGGCAGCTCTTTCAAGATTACGCAAGCATGTCGAAGTTCTTTAGCTTGAGATCACGAAACTGAGTCGCCGCTGAAATCACTTTCAGTCAAGTAGGGCATGATCACTAACGTCGAATATTTTGTTCAGCTTCCGAGAATTCAATTATCTATAGCACTAGCGGGTGGATTAGGGTAACTTTACAACGCCGTGAGACCAAGCCTGTTTTGGCCAGGTTCGGTGTTTTCCGTTATGACCATATGGACTTCCACAGGTGAGAATGCCTGCTTTGAAAGCCACACAGAGCCTCTTTACAGTCTTGTTCGCTCGTGCAAGATGCTGCGGGTGTCAAGGAACTGGTGAGCTGGGCATGGCTCAGTCTCATTCGCCAATTATTGTCCTCGCCTCTTCAGCAATGGCAGAGAAGCGGTGACAGCAGCGATAAACTAGTTTCCATCTGCCGGCACGCCCCCCCCACCCGACTAAGACTCTATATAAGCGGCAGATGGAAAACCTTTAGGAGCCCCCTCCCTGAAGTTTCCAGGAAAAGCTTAATAAAGTTTTCGGAAACCCAACAACTCAACAAGAACTGTAAGTGGAGCAAAGAAAAACGAATAATCGGAACGTAACAAGTAGTATTAAGGCTTAGGTATTGCTTTGGAGTGTAGCGACACGTCACCAAATGTAAGGTACTTCTTTTCGCTCAGACCTGGTTGGTAAACGAAACTAAAGGGCGTCGAAAGAGTCGCTACACAAACTTCTCTGCAGTTGACCAAGGGGGAAAAACGCACAGATAATGTCCACTAAAAAGCACCTATACAGAGCCACTTTTGACGCTACAAGGTCAACAAACAAGTGGACATTTTTGAACCATTTTTGACAGATACTTTGAATCGCTGCTGTATAGACATAGAACTCTAGCACATACAACATCAGTAGCAGCATGTTGAATTGCTTTCCTCACCTTTGTCAGCTTCGAGTTGACGACGCAGACATTAGGAGACCATAGCCGAGGCTCCATATCGTGGTCTAAAGACAGGTTCTTTCTGCATGGGTCCAGATGGTCAAACGACAATCTGAAATCAGTTCCGATTGCAGCCTTGCAGGCCAAAATCAGTGAAAATGATGGCGAGCTCCTAAAAATTTCCATTGTCATGAAAATACATTCACCTGCTATCCATCCAAATCGCACTTATCCAGAAGTCGATGACGAATGTTCCGGTAATTGCTGAGATATCCGAAATGTCTTGTATCGTGATCTCAACCAATACTTCCACAGGCGCCGGTTCCGGTAGGGCATTTCTGCAACAGTTGTTCTGCCTTCTGGACAATGTATCTCGTCGGAGCCTTTGGAATAATCCAAGGATGAAATTCAGGATTCTTGTAGGGCCAGATTAGTAGCAAGGTGTTCAGGAAGACGGATTTATGGCAAATTTTTCAAAACAGTTCAGGTTTTTCAGGTGGTCAGAGTGTTGTAGGTGGCGAGAGAGAAATAGAGAGAAAAGGGAGCTGAACATGAGATACCTCCGAAAAACGTATTCATGCGGCTCTCCAAGTTCTCTCCCCTTGTAATCTCTACGTGTTAGTTAGCCCTTTATTGCCCTGTGCAATATGAGGATGTCTGTGGAGCATTTAGTCGTTAGACCTAGCGTTCTGAATGAATGCATTGTATTAGGTTGTTCGAAAAGTAATGCGACACTTTGATTGAATTGTTCTAGAAAAAGACCAAAAATCATTTTGGATGTTTTTATCCCTGATTAGTGGAGACTGTCCTCTGGGGTTTCTGCACATGGGTATATCATGACTTTGTGGAAGTTTTCAAAGCTTAAAAGTCCCTCAGAGATCGAGGTACTTTTCGACCTATCCCATATTATGAGTTCCTGTAGGGCCACTCCGCCGTAGTCGAGGAAGCTAACACTTACGTTGTCTTGAGGAAGGATATCGCTTGCCATGGCAGAGGGTAGCTTTTGCATCAGCGCTTCCAGGCTGGACTTATTTAACTCGTAGTTAGGCAATGTATAGGTCGCCCACCAGCACAGAATGACGGCCCTTTACTCAAGCTTCTTGAGGCGCAGCCCCGCGATGCGACTTTTGCAGGTTCAGGCGTCACATCGTGCAAGAACAGTGGCCAATGAAGCACTAATCAAAAAAAGCAGGAAAAGGTGTGGAAGAGCGTGAAATAAGACCCTATGAAATTTAAGGCATGTGGACGAGTTTCGCAAACTTCTGGTGAGTTCTCCAATACACGTCGCCGCCTCGGAACTCTAGAAATTCAGCGTATATCAATGCCAGCAAGCATTGATAACTGTCAAAACATCGGGGGGCGGGATTAACAGGACAGGAGGCGTCAGCCCGGCTCTGTTGACTCCGCCCTCGTCAACCAATCGATTTCGAGCCGCAAGAGTGGGATTTCTGCTGTGATTGCGGACTCCGCGTTCGTTTTCAATGGAGGGTTTTTTCACTTTGGTTGATCGCGGACGCTGCCTTTAAGGCCAGCGATAAGGTGAACCACCAGTAATTGGCAACCTCTCTGAGTTCCACCTGTATTGACAACTGCCATTTCTCCGCAATCTCAGTTATCGGGAATTTTTTTGTGAAGGATGCCTCATGAGTTGAATCCGTCTGACAAGTCATAGCGAATGACCGTGACTGAGTTTTCTTTTCCTTGTACAAAGCGATAGAACTTTTGTGAGAATCTTCGTGGTTCAAGGTAGCGACTGCTGGACCTTGCGACATCATACACATGCCTTCGCAAATTCTCCAAACAGAAATAGTATATATGCTCACCCCCCCCGCCCAAAAAACAGATGGCGATGGATAAAGATTTCAGTGTGTTATTGGTGGGACTTCCAAAGCGGTATCACTGGATACTAGCACCGTTGTAAGGACCACAGTCCACCTTAATCGACTTCAAAATATGGATGACGTCACGCTTGAATTCATTCAGAAATACTCAATTTTTCTCTACTACTCGGCAATGCGAAGACCGCATGTGGGGATCAGGTTACGCCAAAAAAATCAGGCAATTTCATCAGAGAATGCGACTGTACCCAGGTTATTTAACAAAGTTAGCAGCCTCTAATTACCACCTCCTTTGGTCCCTATCGCATCCTTCAAAAAGCAAAAATTCCGAAAATCGACCTCACCTCGAGAATGAGGTCCACCTTTTCCTTTTTGTCATAATGCCGTAGTTCTATGAGAATGGAAATGAGTAGCTGTGCAAAAGAAGGGCACTAGTCCTAGTCATCAACCGCGGTCACCTCGCAGATTGGCAATGTCTTTTAGTGACGGAAAATTTAGTCCGAAAAATTTGGTCAAAGTGTCGCATTACTTTTCGAACAACCTAATAGTTCCGAACATGTTTCAAATATGACGCTCTATACCACCAAGCACCTCATGGACTCTAGTGGTTCCGAAATCACGGTAGTTCTCCAGAAGACGCCAATAGCACTGAAACAATCTCACCAACGGTCGCACGATGCAGGCAGAAAAGCCGGGTCACTCAAGGGCGCTGGTTAGAAAACTACAGTCTCCACGTAACAGTTAAGAGACGCAACGCTCTACTTCAGAGCACTATAATTGACAGTAGGTGATTCTTATTGAAGGGCACTCGTCTCGGTTGTCCATTCTGGGCTTTCTTGTGGAAATTCAGATCGCTTCTGACTTCTTGCTAGCAGAGATTTTCGCATGGGTCGGTAACGTGCACTTCATTTTGAATCTACCATTATCTTCACTATTGGAGGGTCACACGAAAAAGCGAGAGGCGAAGACACCATTATCAAGAGCTTAGATACGAGGGACTGAAGAACGGGAAGGTAACTTTTTCAAACCAACTCGAGCTGGCCTGGGCCCAATGGGAGAAAGTGGAGCAAACCGTCGAACCATCGAAATGAAAAAACGTTATTTTGGCAATTGGTTACAGAACGTGGGCGGGTTTCCACAATAGCTTTTCGGAATGTTAGTAATGCTATTTGAATGCCGGAAGAGCCAGAGTGCAGAGGAATAAGGAAAAACAGGCGCGGTCATTCATGGGTGCAGGCGCGGTGGGCCTTATTAAGTCACTACGAAACACTTTGCCTGCTTGAGAACATTATTCCCCTCTGTACCGGGCATATTCACCCTGAAGCGTAGAGCATTGCCATACCCACTACCTCAGAAACCCACATGGCTCAGTGCTTCAGCGATATGTTGCCGAGTAGGAGTCAGACTTGACACATGCTCGAAGAGACTTTGGGGTGTATCACTACATTTATGAAGGAAACAGCACATTTAACATTAACACAGTGTGATAAGAAGGATAAAGGATGAAGTCCCCGCCGTTGATCAATCCCTTTGTGGGATGCGGCACGCATTCTACTTCCATTCAGAATCGTAGTGGCTTATTGAATGCGATGTGGCCTATACAATGACTTGCGGTGGCCAGCCGATGTACAAGTCAGTGTTTTATCCTCCCAGACGAATCTGGTACCAATTTACCGTCCCGGAGGGTAGAAGGCTTGTTGGGCTGGCCGAGCCGATCCGGGATTTGACCGCCGGACTGCACGTGTGGTAAGCCCTTTGCCACTACACCACTTTTGCCTCACAATGTGATAGTCTTATAGAAGAAATATGCGATGGTTTTAACCGCGAGACGTGATCTCTTATAGGCGACGGTTTTTTTTTCCGGGAATCAGTGATCCCTTAAAGAAGTGCAGCATTGGTGCAGGCAGCTCTTTGCATTCAGCTACGTATTGGAATCTGCTAAAGATGAACATTCGCATGGCCTAAAGCAATTTACGCATGCATAAGAGCCCTCTTCGCATCAAGGAGCATGCAGATGAGTTCCGTCTAACAGCTGTCTCCACATGTTCGTACTTGGTCTCTTGAGAAAAGTTCAACTCAGCTGTGGAAGTACTCGCACTGTGAGAGGCGAGAGATCCAGGAGGGGACACTGAGAGGAGTATCCAGCCAATGGTTCATTCCATTCCTTTATGCAGGACTAGCAATGACTATATAGCAATGAACTGGGAAAAGCTTCTGACGAATACTGGCAAAATGAAACTTCTCAAGGGCATATTCCGCGATTCCTAGTTGTGGGAGGTACACACTTCAAATATTTTATTACGCTCGATAGGCGGCTATTCGCGAAGGGATAAGCGGAAAATACCGTTAAAACGGCCATCAATAAACTCATTTCCAACATTGAACATTCGCGTGAATAGGAGCACAGAAACACTGTGAAGCATGGGGCTAGATTACACAGTAAGTGGTGAAGGTGAAATTCTATAAACTATTTATGAGTGGAGCCCGGGCAGAACGACGAGGTCAAAGTTGAGTCACAAACGAAATGAAGAGTATTGCCTGATTTCCTAAACAAAACATCCTGTTCCAAAGTCAAGTAGCTACTTTTTCGGTAACAGGAGCAAGCATTTTACTGCGAACACATTGAAGTTTACATGAATATTAGTTTACTAGCTGAGTGAAAGAACGAAGAATGAATCTATGGCAGTAGCCGTGGAACTGCGGTGACTAGCGGAGTTTAAGACATGCGTCGTACGTTGGGGAATCTCAGCGAGCGAAGGGGGGGCGTATGTGCCTTCGACAGAAATTTGTGATTGGGGAAAAATTTCAGCTGGTTGCTGACCTCCGCGGTTTTTCCCCTTTGTGCTACTGGATCCTCGACCCCTAAACGTCAACATCCTGGCGAAATCCCGGAAAAACTGGTAGGCTGTTGGGAATATCTAAGAAAGTGGTAGTTAGGATGGGGAAGGGAGGAGGTCATAATTCCCGAAAATTTTTTTGCAGCATTAGGAGCATTAGGACGTATCCCGTCCGTTTAAAGAACCCGCGATTAATCGCCATCTCAGATGCAAAAAACATGCCACCTGCCCTAGATAGAACCCCATTTCGATCCCAGTTTGTACGTGCCCAATCAACTCTATCTCCAAAACTACGCCCTCATATGCACGGCTGATTCACCGATAAGATTTCTACGATCGTACAAGTGGCGATTATCATGCTTTTTCGTCCTGCAATCTCATTTTTCACTGGAAGTCGGTCATTAGGGGCGGAGTCTGGAGGCGGAGTCAAAGGAGGAGCCACTGAACCTATATTGCGCTACAGCGCCCCTCCCATAGAATTTTTTGCCGCGAAACCGGTACAAGGTTCGTC